AGCAAAGATAATTGACAGCAGATGGGAGTAGCGAAACGTCACTATACGTAGACATAAATAGCAGCGAGGTTTCGTTTGTATTTACGCAACTGCAGGGGAGGACAATCACTACAGCACTAATCAACGAGATTGGATAATTTCGCAAATTGCAGGATTATCTCGCGAAACGGCTGTGGAGATGCTTTCGAAGGAGTGGCAGCGGCGGCTGATCTCTATCATATCGAGCATGTGAACACATTCCTTGGACCATACTGTAACTCGGGTGCGTGATTGGCTGCGTTCTAAAAAGGGAAGAACACTCACTGACCATTGTCTCAAAAGGCATACTGCTAGATGCGCCTCAAACGTTGCAAATCTTTCTTCCATATTAACCATACGAATCCCTTTGTAGAGCATTCTTTTCGTAAAAAAATGCCTTGCACTGCGTGCCACTCATTGCTCCAGTTCTTTAAATCGCTCTAAATAAGCAAAATAAAGCTCTCGCGTTTAGAACAGCTTCCACCAAAAATGCACTTTTACTTCGTCCTTTGGGTAATGAGTTTCGGAACATGCAGTTATGGAAATTTATGGACGTTATTTTTTATGGACGCGAAAAGAATTATTCACAACTTCCTTTAAGGAAGCATTTGATAGATGTGAAGGACATATTTGAAAACAAGCGTTTTAAGCCCCATCTGATAGTATGCCTTATATTTTGAAAGGCCACAGACAATAGTATTCTACCCTTATAAGCGATTGAATTATTCCCCCTTCGAATAACGAATAATTGCGGTAGATGAGAAAGTATAAACTAGCTTGAACTTAGTTGTTTCCTTGATTTCTACTACGAAGTAACGATGGGTACATTTTCTCATTCTAATTAAGAAGCAGCAAAAGCAAAAGGGACATGAAATGTATTTGTCTGACAATTTCAGTTAATTACTAACGGAAATTACAAAAAATCTTACGAAAATCTCTATATTTATGTCCGTATATGTGGTGACAACTCGGAAATAAATGCATACTGATCTTGCAGAAATGATTCCTGTCGCAACAATGGCAAATTTCTGGAACATACCGATTATCGCTTATATGGCTACAGCCAATGCTCTGTCCAACAAAAAGGTGAACCCATGCACAACTTCAGAATAACAAGAGTTGATGTATGCGCATTGCAGCAAACAATATACTTTTAGATCTACAAAACACTGGTTCGTGTTTCGTTAAGAACAATAAACACTGTTGCTGAGTCGACTGCGGCATTTATAAAACATTACAAATGGAAAAAGGTAAGAACAGCCAACAGATGAACGATTAGCGCCGAAATCACAGATAAAGTCGGATTACATAGTTTGCTGATCGCGAAAGTGATATACATTTCCAAGGTTGGAGACCTTTCAATTCTCAAAGCTGAAATTAAATTCTTCCTTAAATACATACCGAAACCTAAGAGTAAGATAATATCGTGCAAATTGGAGATGATGTTGGTAGTCGAAGTGTCAAATAGTCCGTCTCTCCGTAGCTTCTATCCATTTATCCTTTCTTCTAAAAATTTGACTGTGTAAGAATGAGAAAATACGAATTTTGAGATCAATATAAAAGGAATTTTAGATCGCGCTAATAACAAATACTGGCGTATCAGCATTCGAGATGACTAGCGCTTTTGAGCCCATATTGAAGCGTTATGGAATAACGATTACCAAGAAGGTTCTCTTTGAAGAGTCTGCCACAGTTCAAGACATGGTCAGCAGTGGGCTTCTGGATGAAATTCGCTCGAACTGCAGAAGTGAGTGGAGAATTCATTTCTAGCTGACTGTCATTT